CAACAACAACAAGGCAGGTGTTTGTATGTGATTTGTTGTTGTTGTTGTTGTTGTTGGCGTCGAAATGTAAAGTGAAATTCCAAAGAACTGTTGAACTGCACAAATTATGATAAGTATGCATTGAGAAAATGAGAGAATTTATAAACAGTGAAGCATTTATAAGTTGGTGGAAAATGAAAAGGAGGAAAACTAACAATTAAAGAAAACATAGAAAATAGCTTTAAGATTTTTTTGTTCGTAGCAAAGGAGAATCTCATAATGGTCAGTTAAATGTTACCATATCGACTGGGTAAACCCCCCCAAGTATCGCTCACTTTTGCACATGGCCAGTCGTCAACCAATTTGGAGGCAAGCGGAACAGAATATTGCGTGTGAAGAGCTATTCTAAGTTTTCATAAAAAAAGATGAAAACGCGGGATCTAGCTAATGGTCGGATCTAGCTATCGGATCTATGTGAGTCGGTTCTACGTACCGGGTCGACTACGGTTTTACCTGACCAATAGCTGTTTTGTCGCCGTATCGGTTTACTATCACTCCCACAACACAAACAAAATTCACGCAAATGCGTTAGACCAAGAAAAAATACATTTCATTTGATTTGAAGTAAAGTCATATGCAACGTTAATAATATATTATTTACATATATAGAAAGGTGGCCCTCTCTGTGATTCTCAACATAAATAAATAATAAAATAAACGTTATTTTATTCTAAATGAGCATACATGTGTTTTATTCAGGTGTCACTAAAAAATAAAAACTATGAAGCAAACCTAAGCGAACATTCTCATGTGTCTAAATTTGAGGTTAACATTAGCTGAACAAATTCTGAAAAATCGTTAATATGTTCTCTTTTAATTTATTTTATGCACAATTAAAATCCACTTATTTTTTACACTTTAGAGGAGTAACGGTAAAAATCTATCACAAGGAGGACCAGCCAAACTCAAGTTTTAATAATTTTTTATAGAAAAACAAGTTTTTTTTCTGTTTTTTTATTTTAATTTTTTACACGCTTCTACGTTGATGGCATAAAGTTCTTGCCTTGGAAGACCCGAGTAAAATTTTCCGAAGAATAATTTTCTAGAATATTTCAAACCTCTAACGACCTTTCAAATTTTCTTTTTATGGGGTTTCTTGAAGTAAGGAGCAAAACGACCCTTTCAGGCGGGAGCTAATCCTTTAAAATGTTGTACGAAAATATTTCCCATGAAATTTTACTACATATGTCTTAACTTTTAATTTCGCTCAGAAATTTTTTTTTAACAATTTTTTAACTTTTTTGAAAACTACTTACATAGGTCGGGACATGAAAACTTTATTACTTAGGTAATAAAATAAATTTATTACTGGATAATTATCAGAAAACTGTCACAGTGTTATAAAAAATTTCAAACAATTAAATTCTCCGCATTAATTAAAAAATTTAACATCGAATTTAAAATCGAACACATTTTTAAAAAAACATTGCTTGAAATGTTCTTATGGATATATAGCGAAGCAATTGACATCAACATTTTTTAAGTTGCATCAGTGAATTTGACTACTTTTGGCCGCAGTCCCGACACTATGCACAGGTGCCCTCTAACCTACGTCGGTCACTGATAAAAATTACTCACGAATTAGTCAACTAGTGTGAACTATAAATTTTTTTCTGTGTCCATGATTCAACCCAACCCAACATCTGCGTTTCAAAATTACATTTTTGTGTCTAACAAAAGCCAACAAATTATATATTTTTAATTTAATGTTTCCCTAAAAATAAGTAAATAAATACCTCACAACTCGATTTACCAGAAATGTAAACAAAATTGCATTTTTATAGCTAAGAAATATTTAAAAAAATAAAACGATATTGACGTGAGCAAAAAATTCACTGAAATTGCACATTCGTGAGCACATATGCGGAACACATGTCCATCCTATGAACATCATTGGCATTGTGCAAATCGAAAAATATTCGATAAAATCGATTGATAGAATAAAATATGCCGTACAAAAAAAAAAAGAGAGTAGTTAAAATTTGCAATTTCGCTACACTCTATGTGAAATCACTTGTGCAGTAAAATTGAAGAGAAAAATGTGCCAAAAAATGGCAAGTGGAAGCCCGCAAATGTGCACTAAAAATGTATTTTAATGCTTGCAAGAATAAACAAAAGTAAAATAAATGTCATTTCATTGCAGGAAGGAACACTTTTGCAATAGAAAGCAGCCAAAATGGTAGGTAGCACAAGCACAAATTCCAATGAACTTTTGTCCTCAATTTGATGCAGCGTTGAATGTTGCATATTTGGCTTTAATGGAAACGACAGGACCAAGTTGGCAGCGAGTGGAGCACTTTGAAGGAAGTGAAAAATTAAAACTGGCAGAAGTGCAAGAGAAATGTATAAATGCGAAATTTATAAAATTGAATGTGCCAAAAGCAGAAAAAATCGTTTTCCTTAAAAATTTGCAAAAAAAATATCTAAAAATTGCACAATTTGAAATTGGTAAATGCTTTTAGTATAATGCTTATTGATTTAATAAATAAATAAAAGCAAGAAAACGTACATATGAGTAATGGCTGCATTTCCAGAAAAAACGTTTGAATATTCAAATCTTTTAACTATGTATGTATGTATATTGTTTCTTTTTTTTGCATACTGCTCGCAATCTCCATTTTCTCGCAATAGGTACATTGTACAATTATTTTGTCTATTCAATTACCGTATGTATGTACATTTGTTTGTCTTTTTTAAATTTTTCCACGTAAACGCGCTTTGAAAATTATAGCAATTTTCTGCACACTTAATCAACACAAATTACTCATTTTTCTGGTATTATGTACGGAGCCATTTTTGTTCAATTGAAAATTATGAAAATTGTTTGCTGATTAGACCTGGCGGGTGGTTAATTTGTAATTTCTTACTCAAACAATAACAAAGATTCGCTTCTCTTTTCAAGTCAGCACGTTCTGTTGTCCAGCCCCCCTACTGTGGCATTCAACTAAGTACGAGTACAACCAGAACGTACTACATAGAATATGTAGCCGCTACAACAACAACAACAACAACATAGAATATGCATGTTGCTTGTGTGGCCTTCGATGCTATGAAATTCTAAGAAATTAATTGCAGAAATTTTGTGAGTTCGAAGATGTCCTTAAATTTGTACCTGCAAGTGCAAGGGACGTGGGAAAAGTGGAATTCGGTAATGCCTGCTGTTAAGATGACTCTGTTAGCGAGGTAATACAAATGCATTGGTTCCCACGATAATGTTATATAGATACATAAGTTATACTCGGTCAAGGACCAATCTGAAATTGTCTAAAGATCTATGCAGTAATGCATCTCGATTAATGTTCTCGATGGAAATAGTAAATTTGATGTATGATTTATAGGGAATTTACATGAGGCGATTTTTCAGGCGATTTTTAGTTGAAAGCAACAATCGCCTGGTGTAAACAGCCTTTCAACTAATCGCTTACAATGAAGTTGGTCGGCTCCCTACTTTCGTTCAACTTTTGGTTCAACTAATCGCCTGTGAAAGTTGAATCATGTAAATTCCCTATTAGTTATTATTACGATCGATTTCTTAGAGAAACGCACTTCAGATTTACCAAGCTATGCTTTTCCAAGTTTACACCACAAATCTGTGCAAAATTACCTTGTGAAGTACCTTAGTAGATTACTAAAACCACCTAGTTCCGGCAATCAAGATTTCACAGCCCAATAAATTGAGGAGTACGGTTCTTCTGATACCAGAGATTGATAAATTCAGTTAGATATGAACTACAACTGTTTCTAGTGGTCTTTACTTAAGCCTACCAAGAATTTAGTTTTTTTTTTTTTGTACCGAATGAAAATAAGGAATTTTTTTTGGCTATGACAAATGAATTTATAGTATAAATCAATTGCAAAAACTCACCTTTAACGCTTTTTGAATGATGATCCAGTGGTATACAAAAAATGTTGCTCACTGTTTCTACTTTGTTTTATTATTCCAAATATGTGTAATGGAACGTTCAATTAGGCCACCGACATCCAACTGACGCAACTGTTGAAAAGTACTTGTCGACACCTTTTGACTAGCTGAGCTGTCTGTGTGCTTGGTGCTTTGTACTGGAACTGCACACTGAACTACTCAACAAGCACTGTATGGCCGCAGGAATGTAGCGATACGCCAAGTTGGTAAATGTCAAAAGCGCACAAGGTTTGTTGGAGAACGTGGCGAAAACGCGATAGGGATTTGTGTTAAGCTAATGTCAGTTGCCCAATAGTGGTGGGGCGAAATGTGTACGAATGCAAAGAAGGGCTGCACGGATATTGCCTTGGTTGCTTAGCCGGCGATTGCGATGGCAATATCGAAGGCTAGGTCTCTCGCAGCGTCGTTGATTCCGAGTTCGTCAGTTAACAGCGCAGTTGCCAAAAAAAAACGCCAACCACTCTTTCCACTAGTCAACGAAAATGGAAAATCTGATCAAAATGTGGCCACGATAACAACAAAATTGGCTAAAGGCACAATAGCAACAAAGCCCGCAGCACGACAAACACGACGACGACCACGATGGAAACCACGAAAACCACGAGCCAAATGAGCGGATGTGAATACGATTGTGTTGCTTTTCCTTAGAGCAAAATTTTCACCGTATTTTAATTGTTGCTCCCGTTCACGAATTTGCTGATGTCGTTGTTGTTGCAATGTTTGACGGATGCGATGAGGTGATATTTTTTACGTTCACTTTTCCCCTTCATTCACTTTTCTTACAACAAAGAATTCTTATATGTACTATAAACACAAATTTCTTTTCGAATTTTTGTAAAAATAGAAAAATTGTTAAATGCTTTTTAAGGTTTCCACAATTTTTCGCTGCACTCAATGAGATTTTATGGGTTTTGCTAATACCGAATATGCGGTCATTGGCTCGGCGCCACTCTTGCACTTCTTTCCACAGAAACCACATCCAATAATGGCCAAAATGACTACTCGTCTAAAGCGATTTCCAGCAAATAAAAAAAAAATACAGTCAAAAGGGAATGAAAATTTTGACATTACGTTTTGTATGTGCAGGGTTGCTTCTTGGATGCCACAGAAGATGAAGAGAAAAATGTCCCAAACCGGTTCAGCGCTATACAAAATCGTTCACGGTAACTAAGCGTCGACGTAAACGTCAATAGCAACCACAGCCGCTGACTGCTGCTGCCAGTCAGTGTTTCCACTTTATTGTGGTGGATCTGCCACATTTTGGGCCACTTTTATTTTTTACAACTACATACCACATATTTTAAAAAACTACCACAATTCTACTGAAATTACTAAGCAGCCTAATTTGAAAAATGTTTTGTTTTTTAAGAGTTGAACAGTCAATTTTCCCCTCAATATGAATTTAAATGTCAAGAAAATTTATTAGGGGTATTCTCTGAGTCTTGCAAAGCCCTTGCACGGTGCACGGATTGCACGGTTTGCAAAGCTGTCCCATACGAAAACCGGTTTTTACCGTGCAATCCGTGCAATCTGTGCACCATGCAAGGGCTTTGCAAGACTCGGAGAATACCCCTATTGTGAAATTTGTAATCTGCACTTACATGAAGCAATTATCTTAGAGATTCGACATCGCCTGAGAAAACGTCTGTGAAGTTGCTTACTAAAAGTATTTCCACAGACAACAACACTTTATCTGTTACGAAAATAAGCTTTACGGGTCTTTCTCCGCCGTTAAAAGTCTTTCTTCGCTTAAGTTTTTATGCCTCTTTTTTCGTGGCCAACTTTTGAGCACTCGTCCTTATTTGTGTCTAGTCGTGTCTAACGCACTAAAAATGAGGGCCAATATTTCGGAAAAACTGTGCGATAGGACATAACTGAGTATGCAGTTTATCTACATTTGAATACTAATTCTACAATTATTTTACCACACTTTTCTACAGATCTACCACTGTTTTTATTAAAATCTACCATTAATTTGGTTTCTGAAGTAACAACACTGCTGCCAGTGCTGCCGTGTCATGACTAAAGGGACAATTTGACAATTTTTAGGCGTCAATGCCCTTTGATTCGACTTTTAGAAAATTTTAATTTTTTGATCCTTTTCCCAAATTATGTGCGACTTTTGCCCCTTTTCGGAGATCTTTTTAGGAAATGTTAACTGAAACATGCTATTAAAAATTATTTCCTGCTGTTAGTAAAAAATAATAAATCACTTAAAACTTTTAAAGGAGAGGGAACTTTTCTCCATGCAGCAACTCGAATGCTGTGTTTGGTTCAAAGCTTTTCCCGAAATATTCTTGATATAAGTGCAGAATATCGACTCCTCACCACTGAAAAAACGGAATAGTGGGCGTGATTCGCCATTTTGTCCTGATTTTAGTGGTATATAACATTTCTTGTGCAAATTAATATTATGGGTGGCATTCAATATATTAAGATTTGGAAATTAACCCCTTCAGCGCTCATAGCATTTATTTGCACAAAAAATGTTATATGTTCTTGAAATCAGGAAAAACGGGCGGGCCACGCCCACTTTTCCATTTTTCCCGTCGTGAGGAGTCACTATTCTTAACTTCGTCGTTTAAAGTACAAATCAGCGTATCAAGATAATGCAAAACCGCGCATGTGAGGTTGCATGAATTATTTTATGAAGTAAAAACACTCATTATTCAAAATGTTTCTTTTTTTTTATAAAGCAATTGCATTTCTGGCTAGTATATTAAGCCAAGAGCTTGTGTAAGCAAATCCAATTTTTGACAGCAAATGTCAGTTACGCGGTTTTCCAGAATGACGATATGCAGTTTTGTACTTTAAACGACGACTTAGTTCCTTATTCTTTAACTGGTAAAGAAAAGCAAAAATAATATGGTGAGCCTTTTTCCGTCAATTACCCCTTTTTTGCGACTTTCTGAAAATAAACACGGCAACACTGGCTGCTGCGACTGAGTTCAAAATTTCAGAAAATGAATGAAGCAATTATGGAAAGTTGAGAATACCAAAGTATGTACACATGTAGTTTAATCCAGGAAAACTGCATCTGCAATATCGTCTATTTATGTGTAAACTTGCGAGAACTCCACTATACACATTATTCGAACCCAACTAGGTGCACTTTAAGAAAATAATTCAGTAAACTTTTTCACAATTCCAATTTGAGTTAAAAAATAAACACATTCGGTCGATGGTCTCGGCACGCAGAACGAAAGGCACTTCTTCCACAATTCCAAGGGATTTACTGCTGCAAGAGTATATATTAGCAATTATTCGTCACTTAATTGAATTTTCACATTTTCATAAGCAATTTTGTTTTCTTTTCTTCTTTTTAATGAATTTGGCAATTGGAAATCGGTGATTGAAGCGCTGCAGCGAAAAATAAGTGCACACCTCACTAAATTCTAAAACACACTGCGAAAAATGGAATCATCCACCGAGTGTGGTGGATTTATTCTTCTTCTTTTTCATTCACAGTGTACTGGAAAGCTTCTAATTGGGGCATTTTATCAGTGTTGCCAGAAAGCGGATCCATTTAGAATTAAAATCACCAAAAAAAAGGACTACATAAAAAATTTTAGAGTTAAGAAGAGTGCTGGCCCAATTTTTCATCGATTTAACATTTTTTTTTTTTTATTTTATAAAGAATTTCCAAAGTTTTAGTTCTTAAGGTACTTAAGTACAAACAAATTCCATTCTAAACAAATATTCTGATCTTAAACCACGTAAAAAGAAATCATAAAATATAGATACATTACGAATTCATTAATTACACTAGCTTACACGAAGAAAAGAATTCGCGGTAAAAATTCCATCTCCTCTCCGAGACAACAGTTTTTTTTTTATAGTTTTTACCCGTTTGCAGGTCGGGGTGGTCTTTAAGAAACTGCACATAATAATAAAAAGTAATAAAATGAAATGCATTTCCCTATTATAGAATTACTCACTTTCCGGCGTTTCTTAATCCATTGCGAAGTATTTTCTTTAAATGAAATCCAGTCTGTTGCAGTGGCGCTCAAAAAAATACAATGAAAATGTAAACAAAGAACAGCTGTTGTACTACAGAGAAACTTTTGCTGCGACTTGTAAATAAAACAAGCTTTTCGATGGTCATTATAGACTTTGCATGCCTATGATTACGGTTGATGACGCGTGATGTCATAGGGCTGTTATCTTTTATAGCCCGAACACAATGAAAACGACGAGCTACGGACCACAGCTGTCAAATTATTTTAACACGTACTCATATGTAGATAATTATTTTGGCGACGACAGGGCTACGCGACGACTGTGGCCAGATCTATAGTTCTGAACACATTGAAAACGACGAGCTACGGACCACAGCTTCCAATTTGTCATCTTCATTATCTAAATGCATTGTCGATAGCGACATGATTTATTTGAACGCGGCAGCAACATCATAAATTTGTATGAGTTTGACATAAAAGAAGAGGAAGAACGTTATCCTTCGCCAGAAAAATAGAAATAGATCTAATCTGGCCACAACCACAGCCGTCGCGTAGCCCGGTCGTCGCCAAAATAATTATCTACAGAAGAGTACGTGTTAAAATAATTTGACAGCTGTGGTTTGTAGCTCGTCGTTTTCATTGTGTTCGGGCTATATTTCTACTTTTCCAGCGACAGATAAGGTTCTTCCTCGTCTTATATGTCAAACTCATACTAATTCAAGATGTCGCTGCCGCGTTCAAAAAAATCATGATCATAGAATCATAGAAGATAACGAATTGGAAGCTGTGGCCTGTAGCTCGTCGTTTTCAATGTGTTCAGAACTTTATTTTTAATTCATCACTCTCTTATTCCTTGCCAAGTGGCATCACTCAGTTGGAAAAATTTTTCCACGATTTCCCATTTTTCAACTTATCTTTATTCACCACAGATAAACAAATCTGAATATTCCGTGAATGGTTTTTGCGAACACATGGCTATTTATACCAATAAAAAAGTGCCTTTTATTGAAAGGTAAATAAATAATCGCAAATAAAAGTAATTACATTTCAAATGGGCGTGCGTGGACTTACTGGCTATATAGCACGTCATGCGGAACAGTATTTGCTGCCCTACGAGCTACATGACTGTAACCTGGTTATTGATGGCGATAGTTTATCATGCAACCTGTACAAAGACGTGTCAGGCAGTTGTTCCGCCTTTGGGGGTGACTACGATGACTTCTATCGTGCAGTCGTGGAATTTTTCCAAGTACTTGCTGAATGCAATATCGAACCTTATGTACTAATGGATGGCGGCTATGAACGACGTAAACTACGCACGGCTGGTAAACGGTTAAGAGGCAAAATTGCGGTCATCAAGCGTATTAATCCTTGCGGTGCTAACACTATCTTTCCACTTCTAATGAAGGAAGTATTTGTTGATGCAGTGCATGATTGCGGAGTGCCCGTAATGCGTTGCGTATTTGAAGCAGATGATGAGCTGGCTACACTTAGTCGCAAGTTGGGCTGTCCTGTGCTCACGTATGATTCAGATTTCTATATTTATAATGTGCAATACATACCGCTGGTTACGCTCACTGTCAAAGCACACACCAAGCGCATCAATGAGCAAGAACATCCAAGTATTGATAATTTAACTGAGCGGAAGTTGCGCAAAAACGAAGCCAAACGTGTGGAGAAATTGACCAAAGCTAATCGCATTGTGGGCGATATACAAGTCAATAATGTAGAAAAACGTGGTACTAAAAAGGGCAAAACCTATAAGTTCTTGGACTGCTGCATATACCGCATTGAACACTTGATAGCGCGTCGATCGCTTTGTAAGGAAAAACTGCCACTTTTCGCTGCGATGCTGGGTAATGATTACATAGCGCGATCTAGTTTTCGAAATTTTTTCGCCGCAGGCATGGGCAAGGCAGGACGTAGTCGGAAAGTACAACAACAACAGAAAAGGATTCAAGTAATATTGCAGTGGTTAAAGGATGAGACTGTGGAATCAGCACGGAAAAAAATTTTTAGTCGTTTATGCAAGGTGTGTAATTTTAAATATATAAACTTCAATAATTACTGTTAATATTTGATAAACAGGAAGAAAGAAAGTCGCTGCTGCGAGATATGAAAGCGGCAATCAGTGGATATTCAAACGAGAAATGCCTTTCATACGATTTCTTTGTGAGTAAATATGAAAACTCATTTCAAAGGTATCCACCAAAGCATATAGAAGACAAAGATGGGGAAAATTCAGAGGAATTCGGAGCGGAGATTGATGACCACGATGAACAAGAAGGAAACACGTCTGTGGATGGTGAATATATCGAAGAGGAAGATAGCGGGGACGTTAGCGATAATGAAGGGAACTCCGATTTTGAAGAGGAATATTTGGACAAAGAGACAAATAATGAAAGTGAAGAAGAAAACAAACAAGAAGACAATGATGCCGATGAGAAATTTGATGATGAAGTTGTTGAAAGTGAAGAAAATATCGAAAACGAAGCCCGAGGTAATATTTCGACATTTCCCATCTGGTTTCTGGAGAAGCTCTATCCCGCCCATTTACCTCGTTACTTTGTGGATCTCGTATATCTTCGAAAATATATCAACAGTCCACAAATTGAACATTTCCCATATCCGGATTGCAATGAAATTGCATTGCCCATACTAATCTATAGTTTTACCTTAATAAATAGAGCTGTTGGTGAGGAGACACAACCAAAGCTTGATGAGAATGGCGATCCGCTGCCAATTGAATTTACGTATATGGCACGCAAACCAAGGGTTACAAATATAAATTATACACGATATGCGTTGGATAGTGATACTAATGCAATATTCACGCCAACACAACCTGATCCCTTACTTTTGCGACATGTATTCAAAATCAAAATGTCTCATTTAGATGCACAAAATATGTTTGAAAAAGTGCAACTACTGCCAAAGGATTTACAACTGTACTTCCTTGCCATCATTTACTGGTTACATAAATCGCAGACCTGTGACTTAATACACCTCCATGCTCTGCTCATATCCGTGGTTGTGCTGCGCACAATTGATTCAAAAATACCCGCCGAACGTGATCTACGAGAATTTCATAGACATTTTGGGAAAATCTTAAGAAAGGAAAGAGTTGTACGAGAGACTGATTCGCTAAAAGGCAAATCGCGTGCGATTAGAGAAGATCTACTTGCATTGCCCGTGCCGGAACGTATGGAGCATGTGCCGAAATCTGATTGCTACCTCGTAATGGAAGGTCTTCTCAAACATTTTCACATGCAAGAGCTTTTCAAAAGAAAATACGACACCTATTCAACAACAGTTTTGCATGCTTTTGCGGAATTTCAATCGATTGTCTTCCAATTATACGGTCTGAATGGGTTGCTTGATATGCCCTACGTGCCAACGAAAATGGGTCAACTATTCTGTGGTGTGTTCATCTACAATATGTATGATTTGCTAAAAACACGCACCGACATCGCCTATCATGTGCGAAATTTTATTTTTCGTGATTCACAAATGATGGTCGATTTCTATGAATACCTGTGGCAATGGTGCGATGAATTTGTACCTCAATGGAAGCGCCCGGCTGTGCAACCAACGACGCAGGCTGTAAATAAAAAGGCACTGAAGAAGAAACGACAAGCAGCGCGTAAACAGGCGGCGGCGCAAGAAAATGCTGATCCTAATGCCGATATGGTGGATCATAGCGGAAATGATGAAGCGGTGCCTGCGGATGGGGATGAGTTCTACGACTTGAATAATAAATTTTCTACTTTCCTTAAAGTGCGATAAGTCTGTGTAAGGAAATGTCGCGTGTAAAATAAACTATAGTTTTTTTTTTTTAATGGCAAACCTAATTTAGTAAATTATGTACATATCCCAATAGATAATTTCAGGAGTTAAAAGCCCTTCCGAAAGGCGTTCATTGGAGGCAAGAGGCCATCCTCTGTACATACCTTTCTCCTTTCTTTTTTGTATGGAGTGGCACAAAAATCTTTCGCTACCTGTAGAGGCCTTCCACAAGGGCTTTTATAGGACGTACTTCAGAAGGCCTTTTGTTGGAGTTCTTTTAAAGTTAGCTCTTTAATTTATAAAAATCATATATCTTTGAAGTATTTGCTTAAGGTTTATATCAAATGTATGTCATTGAAACTTAAAATGTTTATTGAAATTCATTTGTAATGTTAAATAATATAAATTTATGCAATCGCGTAAATTGTAAATGGATAAGCCCTTCTAGCACTTTTTCAGCCCTTCTTGAGTAGGCCTCTTAGGATGGCTTCACACTTTAGAAAGGCCTACCTAAATTTTATTGTGGGATATTACAAATCTTTAAAGATTCAATGTAAGACATCAGACATTTTAACGGGTGTCCTTATGAATATAGTAACTTATCGTGGCCGCCAGGTACTTCCACCTGCAGATTATTATACATTTAAAATTCAAAATTTAGCGTTTTTTACAAAAGTACATACATTTTGTTAATAAAAAAATATAAGTTTTCTTGTTTTCAATTTAAACCGAAAAGCGAGAATTCGAATGCATCCTTTGGAAAAAGTTGACAATACGTCAGAAAAAAATATTTGGTATGTTTTTCAACCTACATATTATTACTAGCGATTTTAAATTGTTCCGAAGGCATAAATTCGTGGTAATCGGTTGGAAATTTCATTTCTATAGGTGGCAGTGACCTAAATAATTTGCATAATTTCGTACACTTCAGCCCACTGTGCCCAGCCAGTGAGGCCAGACTTTCTCTGCTAAATTACCCACGAAAATCGAGAAAAAATCCCGCAATTACCCACATCTTAAAAATGTATCCCACATAATTCAAAACATATTTTTCAGTAGTAAGAAAGTAGTTAGTATAGTTACCTTAATATATATATATACATACATGCATATAATATTCTTTCGAAATTCAACCAGCGAATTAACAGCCGTCATCACCCATTGTGAACAACTTTTTCCCCCATCTGTCAAAGAGGAAGCACTTTGTCTTTGTTTTGAAATTTTTGTTTTATCGCGTAATGAGCAGGTAAAAAGTGTAAAAATTTAAATACTCAGGTACGAAAAAACACTGCCAATGTGTTAAGCATTTTGCGTTGGTGTCCACAATTCGGAGAATCTTGAAAAAACATTGGACTTGGCAACGGGATCGTTGCTATAGCAAGCATATATCTGCGACGAATCTGTAACCAGTTGTGGGAATTAAAGTGGTCAAGGGCATACATATGTACGCGGAGTGAGCGACGAAGAGGTTGGTTTTATCAACAGTTTTGTCATTGTTTTTAATGCAAATCTGCTTTAGTGATATGTCTAAATATTTTTGATAATCAGTAAAACAGTATTTGCAATAATTTAGTTTGTTTAAAGCGCAACTTCCGCTGATAAACTTTCCAAAATTCTACGTTATCTCGCTGGGCTCAGCTGCAACTGCAGCTTGTGGTTGGCACTAATCCTATTAACATTAACT